CATTTGAATTTCTACCTTGACTTTCTCGCAGTAAATACTGGCAGGTCAGCATCAGGTGACTCGTCAGCATTAGGTGGCCTTCTGTTCATATAATTAAGTTTAAAATAAAGTGTTCTTTACACTCTTCTCAAGTTTCTGTTCTTACTTTTCAGACTTAGCGATAAGTCTCTTAACGTCTACCAAATGTTTGGTCGCAAGTTACAATAAGCGAGAGACTTTAGACCTTATAACTTATTTGCAAACGATAAACGGAAATGAAATAAGAATTGTGCTATTGCTGGGTATTTGATGAAAGTCGCAGAAAATTCTGAAAAATCTTAAAAATTGTTTCTTGCACATTCGTATTTTAAATGGTTATTCCCAAAACTTTTTTTCACAATAGTATAATACGCACATTTTGATTTGAATATAGGCTTTGAACAAAGCTTCAATTGATTTCATGTTTTTGCATTTTGTTTTCTTTCTTTCTAAAATATTTATTAAAAGCTTAAAAATTAAGCATTCTTTGCACAAATTCCAGAGTGAAGTTTCTGAAACGAATCCAAAGAGGCAATTTGTGCCTTGTTGTAGGCTAAAGAAATAAAAACAACACTCTTAACACTTTCCAACAAAGTCTTAATTAAAACTATTCTTAAGTTTCAACCCTCGCCCCTTTCTGTAACTTTTCTCTTTGTACAACGGATGTTTTTCATGAGATATTTTAGAATTAAACCAACTTGTGCAGAATAAATTTTTCTTGAATTCTTTGTAATTCTATGAACTTTCTCGCCCATTCTTTCATTTTTCTTTTCCGGATTGTATTGATTTTTGTACACGCGCGTAACATAAAAGAATTAAAATCTTTTTAGATACGGAAGGTTTTAAAGCAACCAAGCATTATCTTCATTTCGGCCAGTCTTCTAATTAGTATTTAAATTAAGATAATGTTTTGTTTCTATAAAAATTTTTGAAATACGAGAAACCAGTAAACATCAGATCGTAGATTATAATTAAGGCAATAATTTTATCAAGGGGGGAAAAAGGCAAAATTTATGCTTCAGCCACGAGGTAAATAGGATAAATAGTGAAAATTAGTGAAAGAATCGTGGCCTGAAATTTGCATTAACTGTTTTGCGAAAACTTTCCGCTATCGAGTATTTAAAGGGACTAACAAAAGAACAGGACGAATCAGAAGCAGTAGCATAAATAACTAATACGTAATTAAATAATTTTGTTATACATACTTGAAATTTATATTTGTTAATCAATTGAATTCCGGACACGTATTATTCACCATTACTACAGATCTGTTTTATTATTTTATATGACTCTGTTTATATATATCACATCCAATATACAGGGTGTCCATAATTTAATCATCTGATAACAAAATTAGATTGAAACGTAATTTTACGAAGTAGCAGGAAATAATTTATGTCGATATGATCTTCAGTTCAAAGAATTTCGTTTGTTCTAATTTTTGATATGGGTAACAGGAAATTTGTTTGTTTATAAACAAAATGGCGTTATCCATTGAAAATGCAGTGGGCGTTCTCTGGTTATGGGAAAGAAATCTCCAAAAACAGTTCAAAGCCGATTCCGACATGAATTTAACAAACTTCTACCAACAGAACAACCACCCGAAAGATGGTTAAAGTAGTTTCGAGAGAAGGGACATGTTTTATATAAAGCAAGTGTAGGTAAGCCAAACGTCAGGGATGAAAATGTTTCCTCCATTCGAAATGTGTTTGCGTGTAGTCAAAATAAGTTCATTTCCCATGTCAGCTTGCATACAGGAATTCCCAGGTCGACTGTTCATAAAGTCGTTCACGAAAGCTTGAAACTAACTGCGTATAAATTGCATATTTGTCAACAAATAAACCCAATGATCTCGTCGTTCATAAGGAATTTTCTGTAGACATTCTTGAACGTGTCAGTAATGATATCAGTTTCTTCAGAAAAATCATATTCAGGGATGAAGCTACATGTAATGTTTGATGAGAGGTTAATCGACAGAACGGCAAGATTTGGGTATTAAGAAACCTGCATTTTGTAAGGGAAACTGAGCGAGGTAGTCCTTCAATTAAAGTTTGATGCGCAAACTCGTAACGAAGTTACTGGTTCCTTCTTTGCTCCGAGTGTTCAGTTGATTTTGACGATTACTTCGATATGCTGAGATTTTTTTCAGTATAGAGCTATTAGAAAAAAGCAGCCAAACTTTTTTTTCCAGCGGGATGGGGCTCGCTGTCATTGTATTACACATCTATACGTGTTTCTTTATAGAACATTCCCAGATCGCTGAATTGCTAGAGGAGGATGAATTTCATGGCTACGCCGTTCTTCGGATATCACAACACTCGACTTCTTTTCCTAGACTTTTTATATGATTTTGTGCTGCAGGGATTTGTAATATCGAAGAATTCAAAAACTCGAATCACCACAGAAACAGCTATTAGAAATCCACTCCTCAAATGCTTAATAATGTCTGGAGGGAAAACGAGATCTGCGAGCAAAGAATGATGCTCATGTTGAAGTGTGTTAATATTAAATTCTTTGAAATGTTAAAGAAAATGCAGTCAGTTTTTTTTCTTTTCCCTTCTTGTGTATTATTTAAAACATATCTTTATCCAATGAATAAATTATGAACAACCTGTACACTCATCAACAAAAATCCTTTATCTTATTATCCTTTATTTTTTTCGTGGGTCACAAACATATACATCCAGCTACATATTGAGGAAGATATTCATATTTTCGTACTTTTAAATTAAAAACTGTCAATATTGAAACTGACTTTTTATGCGTTACCTCGATCCCTATACTCATATTTAGGATAATTTTACACTCATTATAAAAAGCATGATACAAAAGGGATGATTCCGGTTAAACAAAAATTGACGGAGATATTTATTTTTAAAGTTAGGCGGCATTTCCAGGAGCCGTACATAAACTGAAGAGCAAAGTATTTCGATTTGTGTTTAACTGTACCAGTATACGAAAAAAATTCTGATGTAAATAAATTATGTGATTAGCCTTTCTATGTATATTATTGGAATAAGTATTGATGAATATAATTAGTTTCAGAAAAGGAGATCTTATTCACGGAATCATACAATAGCCTTGTTCGAGAAAACACTGGCAGGCTTTAGTATTGTCATATTTCCAAATTGTAGCAATATTTGCGTAAATTATAAATTCAAAATATTTCTAGTTTAATTAATTTTTTGTAAGATTTTTGGATTATGATTCTAAAGTAATAAGTGAATAAGCAGTGATTAACCACGAATTAGGTTTTTACTTATTTTTTTTATTATTACATCACACTTTTTACTGTTTTTAGAATTATGTATGTGTATGTGTATGACGATATGTTCGACCTCGATAGCTCTTATATGACGCTTCCAAAAATTTTCATTTTGAGTGTTTAAGCTTTCTACATTCATATGAAAAACAGATTAGATTATAGGTAAAATTCGACAACCGGAAGTGATACTTTACATGAAGCTTATAGAGTTCATAATAAATAATTGTATTAAAATACATTTCAAAACATTTCAATTTTATTGTTTCAGATTTTATATGAAGGGAAGCAACATATTATGTTTTGGCTTAAACTGATAAATCGGTACTTAAGTTCTGTTCTGTTCAGATCTCATAAAAATCTGTTCATATTTTCGCAAATATATTTCGCGAACAATATATTACGAAATAAACCAAAGCTTCTCATGTTTGATATTTAAGAGACAACATATTACATTTACGAATGTTAAAGGTATTTTTGGAATTATGCCAAATCCAACGACAATAAGCTCTAGTTATGAATCAAATAAATGTATTAGCCTCAATTCTCAATTTTATGACAGCTTCACTCTTGACGCTTTGAATGTTTGAATGACTTTTCAAATAAAAGGATGCTGCCTCCAAATATATGTCGCTATGCTACAATTTTTAAATTAATGATATTAGCAAATGTAAGTAGTACAGGGAATGTAAAAAAAAAATATCTGGCCACAATAAACATTGTATTAAGAATTCTAAAGATATGCAGTTTAAAATATTTTATGATTTTGTTGCTATATTTTACGTAACGTTAGTGAAACGAAAGTTACGTTTAATAAACAGAGCTAAAGCGACAAATAAAGTTGTCATTTTATTAAGAAAACTGAAGATTGATATCATGAACTGAGAAAAGACTGGAAAAAAGTATTAAAAATGTTTTTAAAAAATTCGAAAGTGTTCGGATAAGCCCAAAAGGGCTTATCAATGGCCCATGTGGAACAGCAAAACATTTATACAATAGATATACCATGAATTATGTGCATTTTTATTTAAACCTGTCAGATTAAAAATTAACAAAATAATATTCTTAAGAACTGTATCTACTAGTTTTAAAGAGATTAGTTTATTAATTAATAGCAGACAATTAAATATCAAAGAATAATACCTTCCTTTTTTAATGGCAATAGACCCGAATGAAAAATAAAACAACGCATTAAACTGAAACAACGCAAAATCGCGTTTGCAGACTAATATTCCTATTGAAATAGAAATATTATTATTAATTTTGTAAATAATTTGAATGAAACTGTATGTAAATTGTAGTATCGCTTGTATAAGTAATATGAAAAAGTTTAGAATATCCTTTCATACTCATTAAAATTATAAGGTATTTCTCCCGCTTTCTTGGCATGCCTTCGTGGTGTGGTGATCTGCACTCTGGGCGCGTATTCCAGAGGTCCGCGGTTCGATTCCCGGCGAAGGCGTTGCTAATTTTTCAATCTCTCTTACTTCCAAAAAAAGTCCTAATGTTCGTACAAAAAAGCGATTCAATTCTTGCTATAGCATTTCATTGTTTATTTAAATACATTACCTTCAAATCAGTAAAAAAAATTACTTTAATTACAAGTTTCATTATTCATTGCAATTGTAAACTGCAGAAGAGTATCAATTAACTAAATTACACAGGCGTTTTGTACCCTGTGCTTAAACTGAAAATACTTATTTTTATTTTCAGATGGCAACGAAGATGTTTGGCAGCATTCGACTATTACTGCTGGCGCTAGTGTACTTGCCTCCATAATTGTGGTAACTGCTATCTGCGCATTTTATTTCCGCAGAATATACTTAGAAAAGAAACACAGACCTATGGAAGTAAGTAGTTTTATAATAATAGATTTGTAATTAATAAGAGTGTAGCAAATTTCGATTTTAAAATGTATTTACTTTTGATTTGCAGTGTTTTTAACATTTCTGCATTTTCTTTGACTCAACATTTACTTACAATATTTATTTAGCCCATTGCTTTTAATTTACCAAATGGTTTCCCCGGTTTCTAATTTCAAGAATATCTATTTTATACTGCCTATGCTTACATTATTATTTGTTCAGGGTCACGTCGGAGCAGATTACACGTCGTCTATTACTAACTTTTTGTCTTTTCTTTAATATAATTAATCTTTAATTTAATAATTATCTTTAATTTCTTTAATAAACATCATTTTCTTCGCACTGACGGGCATAAAATTCCTCAGCAAAATCTAAAAATACTATTCAAAAGCAGCGTATCTTTACAATTTCCTCAGGATTATATTCTCTATATTACTTCGCCCACCAGCGGCCGAGCGGTAAAGTCGCTGAACACTGGTAGTTCGGTCCGAGGTTCGAATCCCGCGAACGGGCTGGCTGCATGGGCGTTTTCGTGGTTTTCCCCATGTGTAACGTGTATACGAGCCTGTTTCCCTTAGAAAGTCCTCCACGAAGGCATCCCTCCCCTTAGGCAGATAGCCCTCGAGGCTTTGCCATAATCACACACACACTCTGTATTATTTCTTTGAAAAAATACATGTCAAATAACATTTGACCGCAACTTCTTTTAATTCCATCAGTGATAAGGATAAAAAGTGAGGATCGACTAATAGCAATCTTGATGGCAATAATAATAATAATAAAATTTTTAAATTTTAATTCATTGCTCAATGAAACAGCAGTAGAAGATTTGAAGAAGAGAATAGCAACCCTTTGATGAAGGTGTTACAGGAAAAGTTTTTTATCGTCCTATGATTTTTATAATAAAATTTTTTTCATTTATTCAGTTTTCTCCAATTGTTATAATAACTACAATGTTGTTTTTGCATCCTTGTTCAAAGTAAAGGAAGTGTTGCAATCCTGCAAAATTTCGGATATCATATATCAATGAAAATATCCATTTCGACCACTCTTGAATTCATTTAAACGATTTTTTGCATGACCTCTGTTCATACGAACAAAGTAAATGACTATTGTTTTAAACATATTTTAAAAATATGTTTAAAATATGTTTAAAAATATGTTATTAAACATATTTTAAAAATATGTTTAAAATGGAAAGTAAAAATAAAGTATAAAAATGGTTTTAAAATGTAAAATGGTTTTTAAATTTAGAAAGGATTTTTTTCGTGACCTCTGCACATAGGTATTTCTCGCATAACTGAAAAACGATTAGCCGGGGAACGTTGAAATTTTATACATGAGACATGTAAATGTGCACCTTCCGTTTTTTTAATCTACGGCACTAGACGTAGAATAAAAAAACGTACAATAAATTACACTGTTGTCCATTAAAATTGCAACACCAGACAGGAATGATCTGAAGAACTTCAAAATCACACGAAAGGAAGAAGTTGGGATATACAAATGATAAGTATTTCAGCGCATTTAGACGACGCAGGAGAGAGACACGACATCTGAAGCACTGCATAAAAGAAAAGTTGTGTAGTGGGTTTCTCATTCGGAAAGTGCTTCGTAAAATTGGAGTTTGCTGAGAATACCGTGTTGTACCTCGAATAAGAAGAGGAAATGCTTACCAGCAAGTTTCGAAATTCGATGGAGACAGGATCGTTGCCTATCGAGAGGATAGGTTATCGTTCCGTGGTATCGCCGGTAGCACGGGTCGATATCCAACCACTGTCAGCGAATATGGAATCAACGGATTGTTGAGGGTCATACTTAATGGCATGCAGGATCTCAACGCCCTCCCATGACTAACGCCACAGAGGACATACATATTGTGAGGTCAGCCCTGCAAAACCGTACAACCACACCACGGACCATTAGTCATGAAATGGGGATGTTTGCAGCACGCCCACTATCAGCTCGTAAGGTGCGTCGACGTTTGCAGCAGGGTAACCGTTACTTCGGATTTCCTTGACAATGTAGCATAGAGAGAGATGACGACTCTGAGCCAAAGGACAAAGCTGGGTACAGGATTGGCACAATGTCGACTTTTCAAAAGAGTCCCGGTTCTACGCAGTATTCTAATGACCGTATACGTGTCTAGAGTGTCCGAGGAAATCGCAAATCGCACGTCGCCTGCTTACATTCATATCGACATAGGAGCCCTGCAGAGGGTGTGATGGTTTCGGCGGCTATTAGGTACACGACACACACATCATAGTTCGGATCGACGGCAGTTTGAACGCAGATGGATACGCCTAATGGGGTAAGGGCCGTTTTAGCTGCCATGAGTTGCAGCTGTTTCTACTAATTTCGCACCCCTGTAAACAAAATGCTTACAAATTTAATCATTTTATCTTCATGCCATACTTTTCACGTGCAATAAATATATTTTTTGTATTTGTTTTGCTTCATGGTGTTTCAGTTTTAATGGCCAGCAGTGTAAATATTAGAATAAAATTACAGAGCGCACTGAACTTGGTAAGAGGGTGAATATATCTACCCACTTTCCCGGCTCGCTGAGCTCTCTTTTCTTATTCTTATATCTTAGTTAAATGTGCAATTTTTTGCTTTAAAAGTGATTGAATTATGGTCCGGCTAAGTATATAATGCCTTTGCGTAATTTACATGCAATAGTTCTAGAATTACCAACAATTTAAAACTTTTTGTGGCGCTAGGCTTAACAAGGTCGCTATTTGTTTATATTTGAACATCTTAGCAGAACACTGTATTATGTGGAGTTGGTGCTCCAACTTCAGTGTCTTTTTTGCCAAGTGGCACGGAAAGTTAACGATCAGATTTGGCCTCAAAACTTTTCTCTGCCTGCTTGTTGGACAAATTGCTTGCTTTGGCGTAGACACTCTAATTGTAACTGCAAAAATTATTTTTCCTTAATTGTTTTTAACTGTGTTTGGTGTTTTAAGTTTCTCCGTATTTTACAATTTTTAATGAAGATGTTTTGAGTTTTTGTGGATTTTTGCCCTGCCGCGAAGTGAGAACTGAATTGATTGAATGAGAAATATGGCTCTATTGGAATTCGAGAAAATAAGTTTAAATGAAGCGCAGCAAAATATGTGTATAATTTAATTATCCGTATAAGAAGTTCAGTGATGCCCACATCAGGTTTTTTTATTCTTATTATTCTGCTGCTGTTTCAATGAAATGTGAAGTTTAATTTCAACTTCGTGTTATTATTATATATAGCGGTGTTTCAAAACTAATGAATCAAACTTTAAGATAGAACACAGAGGCTGATAGAACACAAAATTGGCATGATCCATATGTTAAGCAATTAGGCGCTAGATGTCATTGTCTTTTTCCTCCACTCACGCCAACTTTCATCTTCTCCTTCTCATTATAGCTAATATTTACTACTACATTTTAGTAATTTCCTAACTAACTGCACTTACTTACTTTCCCGTTGATCGTAAGATTTAGAGGAAGACCTGGAAATTTGTGCCTATCATTTTGGTGGAAGTTTGCAGGAATTGAGAGTTAGATAATTAGTGGATATAAGTTACGAATACATCATATAAATAACTGAAATAAATATAAGCTTTGAGATATACTCGCAAGCAAATTCAGTCAGTCACTCTGTCCCACCAAAGTCTTTAATGATTTAAAATAACAACAAAATACCCATCTCCCTGCGAAGCTAGCACCACATAAATCTCCTAACATACTAATATAATGATGACATGTAGTGTTTTAATTCGCCACTTTGCCGAACCCAAATTGTTTAAATGTTTCGGGCATGCGCATCAGTATAACATATCTCGTAACTTTTAAAACACTTCACTACTACATATTATGTAGAAAACAGGTCCCAAATGTTAATCATATTTTTAAATGCTAGAGAAAAACAGAAATTGCTGTTAATTTATATTTGGTTTGCACAGAAGCTAAACTCTCTTATTGAGGATCCTGGTCACATGAAAACGAAACGAACTGCCGCTTAATTGCACTGTTCTCCCGAGAGTTTTTATTTGTCGAAAATAGTCAGCGGGAAAATACTTAAGTGCCCTATTTTTATTCTTGCACTTCTAAACATATAAAACTGTAATATCACTTATTGTAATGATAATTTCGAGCAAAAATATGGCAATTTAATGTTAAAAAATAGCTATTTATTTTCATTACTTTATTATCCTTCTTCGGAAAAACTAAAATTTTCTTCTGATTTCATCTTAAAGTGATTTGATATGTACTAAGCAAAAGTGCTAATTTCACTAACATAAGTAACTTCTAAAGAATATCATAATTCATTCGAACATATCATATTAAAATAAGTAACAAAATAATTTTCAGTATTTTACTATCCATAGTTATTTCAAGTTGGAGGAAGGATATCAAGTAATTGCATTATGCACTGAAATAAAATAAAGGTAATAAAATAAATCCATGCAAAATAAAATTAATATCATGCAATTAAGGCCGTTACTTAAGCTATCACCTGAGTAAGTCATTCTTAAAGTGAGCCACTATTAAAATTACTGCTTGAATAAAAACGTTTTCTATTACTTAGTTCTTGTTTATGAAATACGTCCTTATTCAAGAAACGTGTGGAGGCCTTAAAGAAGATAAAATATTCAGGTAAAATCCGATAAATTCTAAAGACACACGTTCTAAAAATTTCGAAGTAACATGTTGAAATATTAATTCTGTAACATGTTAAAATATTAATTCTGTAACATTTTAAAATAATTGACTGCAAATGTGAAATTTTGAGATTATTTTCTAAAATATTCTAAAACCAGGGAGAAAAATAGGTCTAGATTTTTAAAGGCTGTTATTGAATTTATCGGCGGAGCAGATGAGCAACAGCTGCGATCGCGTGGCAGCTGTTCATATCGCGAATCATTCCTCACTGTATCTTCAATATCATATACAAAGAAAAGATTGAGAGTTTCACAATGCATTGAAAATCCTCCGCACCATAA